AGTTATAATTATCCTGATTATCACCTGACTTTGGGACTGGTGGGGGAAAGGGGTTGGAAATCACATAGATTGTTCTAGATGAAATGTCCAGTTGCTTGGCTCTCTGCTTGTGGCAAAAGAGATTTGTATCTGCCCCAATCTGCTAATTTTCAAAGGAACAATTTCTACCCTTCATTATTTCTGAGATTTCATTCTACTTTTGCTTTGGTAAATAACCTATTGGCTAGAGAATGATAGTTATGGGATATTAACACCCTAAATTTCTTGTCCACTCTATCCCAGCTCTCAACGTAACCTTCCCTACTGTCTAAAATAAGGAAACAGTTACCTATGGTCCAGTACCATTTGCCACCACACTGTCAGCTCTAACACCACTGCCTATCACTTATAAGGGTTATCTTCCTCTGCATACTTGCAACCATTTTTCTCCACTGTAAAGAACCAAAGGCTATAATCTCAGGACTAGGAATCACAAGAGAATCATTGAGAAGACAGCATTGTTCAAGGGCATTCATCCTTCAGCAAAATAGCAAATAGCCTGGGCTATATGAAACTCTATCTCAAAACTAATGAAAACAAAGGCAAATCAATAAGTCAACAACAGTAACAAATCCTTTTTCCTTTCTGGACTGCTTTATGCCTGGATTTTGTTTGTGGAGGTGGGTGGGGAAAGAAAAACATGGGGGGAAGGATGGGTCTTGAAGAGGACTGAATTTGGGTCCCAGCACCCTCATAGGTAGCTCACAATTACCTGTGTGTAACTCTAGTTCTGGTGGACTGAACACTTTCAGGCCTCTGAGGGCACCCACACTCATTGCACATATCCCAACAAGGACACACACACACATATAAACATAATTAAAAACAAAATCAGGTTAAAATTATCTTATATTAAGCTAGTAAACTCTGAGATCTGGACATAATATATTCTACCCTTTCCCTCACTTTTCAAGCCAGTCACCATGACTTGCTATTTCATATACCGCCCCCCCCCCAAAAAAAACATAGCCCAGACCCTCATGATCTCTAAACGACTTTCTTCTTTTGTGGTCCCATCAGCAGCAGCACTAGTCATCACCTGGGAACTTAGCAGAAATATAAATTCTCCCTGGGCGGTGGTGGCGCATGTCTTTAATTCCAACACTTGGGAGACAGAGGCAGGTGGATCTCTGTGAGTTCGAGGCCACTCTGGTCTATAAGAGCTAGTTCCAGGACAGGCTCCAGAGCTACAGAGAAACCCTGTCTCGAAAAACCATAAAAAGAAATGTAAATTCTCAAGCTGCCCTGACCACTGAAGTAGAAACTCCGGGGCAGAGTCCAGAAACATTTACAATTCCCAGGAAGTCCTAAAGCTGAAGTTGGAGAGCTACAGTCTGAGTGACCTCCAAAAGCCACTGTACTCCTAAACATACACATAGAAATGGGAAGCCATGTTTCTGTTTGCCTGCAAGACTGCAGTGGCAGTTTAGACTACAGGGTCAAAGTTTAATCTCATAAAAATACACAAAGGCCATGGAGATTTAGTTTCTACTGCTCTTTCAAGACTAGAGTAAATCAGGTTAGTAAGAATGTATCGTAATGCAGTGACTTAAGGGAATGAGCTGTGGACTCCTACTGCCTGGGGTTCAAATCTTCCCTGGATCCTCTTTGTAACTGGCCTGTAAGTGGCCTCAGTGAGCCACTTCTTGTTCCTACCACTGGCAAAGAGTAAGGATGACTTCCACAACAAAAAACTGTGTTGCAATTAACATATCAGAAACAGTCTGAACTCAGTACAACTACTAGCAGTCTTATTTGGTCATCTGAAAAGGGAAGATGTCCCCCCGGTTTTTCTTGAGAGAGTGTCATATATAACTCAGGGCTCACCTTCAATTCATGGATATTAGACAAAAGATAAAAATATCCAGATTCTCAAGAACAGGTTTTGTGGTTTTGCTAACAGTGGAGTGTGTAAGCCAGGTAAGCTGTGAAGGACATAAGAGGACTTGTCAAGCACAGAAAAGCAGCAAACACAGAGTAGATACCACGTATGCTTCTCTGATGACAGTTAATAAAGTTAGAGTTCCCAGGTGATTAGAGGTGACAGTCCTGACACCTGGTCTGCACTTCAGAATGTTGGACAAGAACAAAGGCATTGGGCAAACGTAAGAATCAACTTAAACCTCCACCACAAACCAATTAACATCTTGGGAAAATCGGATCCTGCCTCAATCTCATAGTCTATCACAATTTAAAAATTATCATACATAATTTGCAATACTAATAGTGTGAGCATGGGTAAGTGTTCAATACATTGCGGCTGTCACTGGTTCACAAGCACGACTTCTAATACATGAAAGTAGCCCCTCCAGAAACGCCTGCTAGAGCAATGTGATCATGTATTTAATCTTTTGCTTATAATTTACAAAATTAGGAAAATACTGCATTGATCCAAATATCTCCAGCGTTCATGTCAATTTTCACTTGAGGTATATGTGGAGTTACTTTTATTCAAATGCCCCTGACTGTCCACATATGCTGGCAATACTATTAGAGTAGGGAAACTACCATGGTGAATAAGGAATGGTGCTTGTCCTCCAAGCCAAGACCAAATTTAGAAGGCGGTGATATTAATAATCTATGATTGAACACCTTATAGGAGCAAAAACAAAAGCCTGTAGCAGGCTTTCTTTTCGGCCACCAACCAGCTCCCAAATCACAACACAGAAATTTATAATTAGGTATGAATGCTCGGCTTTCGCCTATGCTTGTCCCATTAGCTCTTATAACTTAAACTGTTTCTCTTCATCTATGCTTTGCTTTGTGACTTATTTACCTATCGTTCTGTATGTTTTACTCTCCGTGTCTGGCTGGTGGTTGCCTAGCTGGCCCCAGGCTGCTTCTTTCTCCCTTGTTCTCTCCTCTTCCTTATTCTCTCTGCCTGCTAGTTCCACCTCTACTACCTAGCTACTGGCCGTTCAGTTTTTTTAATTAGACCAATCAGGTGCCTTAGGCAGGCAAGGTAAAAAGAGTGACACATCTTTACATAATTAAACAAATATAGCATAAACAAATGTAGCACATCTTTGCCTAGTTAAACAAATGCAACACAACTTTACATAGTGAAATATTCTGCAACATAAACAAACGTAACACATCTTTGCATAGTTAAAACTAATAGTCTACAACACAAGTCTCTTGATTTTTCAAAACCACACTCCTCTGTTTCCTCTGAATTAAGCCCAGGGTTTTTCAGTCAATATTCACGATTAGTTAACAGCCACTTGTTTTGTTCCCCTACTTTATTCTCACTGTAGAACAGGAACTAGGGAATCTCGCTTTCTTAGTCCTTACAGGGTGGCTCATTAGGATAGGAAAGGAGTAGGGGCAACTTTCTATTTCATAGTAGAGGACATTTGTGTATACTACATAATCTCCAGCATGTTATTACTAGCTTATCACATACAAAGCAGCAAGCAACAGTAACCCACAACCTTCAGCCCACCTCACATACAAACTGTTAGTGGTTGTTTATTTGGAGTGAACTCTTCCAGCCAGGCAATGACTGCGGTAGAGGGCTGGTATCAACAGACACCCACCAGACTCAGTTCCATGCAGTGCCTGGGTCAGATGTCCAGACAACGAGGAAAAGTGCAAGAGGTTGAGAGATCCCACAATCTCAGAAACTGGCTAACCACCTGACTGACCGACAACTGCCTCTGTGCTTGTTTTAAGTAGTTTAGGTCGTTTATTTCCCTAGGGTGTCAATGCTCTGCTTTCTAAAGTTGTCAGCAAACTCTAAATAAAGTTTATCTTAAGATTCAGTATCTGAGTTGGGTGGAGATGGTGCACACCTTTAATACCAGCACTCTAGAAGGAGAGGTGGGAGGAGCTCTGAGGCCAGCCCGGTCTTCAGAGTTCCAGGATAGCCAGGGCTACACAGAAAAACCCTCTCTCTAAAAAACCAAAAGAGAGGGAGAAAAAAAAATTCAATTTCTGGTTCTTGTAGTATCATGGGCCTGGCACTTCTTTTACAATTCTTGAGCTTCAACTCTTCTTTCGCGTGTCCCTTCTCCAGAGAGCCTTGCTCTGAGCACTTAATCTAAAACTTAGCCAACTCCCTCCCAGTTCATTATTCTCTAGGACGTATCACTAGGCTAAGTTATTCCTAGAATGGTGGGAAGAACCCTCCTAGTCCAGATCACTGATGTATGCAATAGTGTCTCTCTCTCTCACACATACAACGCAAAAGCAGATGATATTAATCAAAAACATTTTCCCTCGAACATAAAGAACATAACCTCTGCTCATGTCAGATGTGCTTGGATCTCCAGTATATATTCCCAAGTCCGAGAAAGCTTCTGCTTTCTCAAAGTTGGCATGACCATGCTACCAGTTCTACGCTCCAGTGTGGCGTTTCGGGGACGCCCCCAAGTCCCGACAGCTCCGGGTGTACCGGCACCCTCCCAGTGAAGGAGTTTATTCGAGTTCCGGGCTGCAGTTGGAAAGCGACCGCGCAGGAGACCCCGACTATTTCCCTGGGAACCTTCTCCATCCAGTTCACCGCGCAGGTGGCTTTAGGAAGCTTTATTCCAATTCTACCTGGTACTGGACACTTCTGGCTACCCACACTCGCACTAACACCAGGTAATCACGTCCAGAAACTACTTTCAAAGCCGGCCTAGGGTCCTCTCCGAGGTCACCTGGCTCCGGGTATCCCCGCCCCCAAATACCCTTGGCCGAGGCCACCCGCGACCTTCACGTGTGTGGGGACGCAGCAGGGGCGCACGGTGGCTTCTCCACTGGCGGCTCGGGCGCTCTCACCTGCCCACCAGCAGCTGCACCTCGCGGCCAAGCCGCCGTCGCCGCCACCGGAGCGCAGACCCGGGCTAGGAAAGCACACACGCTAAAGACTCTGGCTCCCTTGACCCAGCGAGGCCGGAAGGCGCATGCGCAGCTCCGCGCGTCCCGCCCTCTCTTCCGGTATTTGCTGGACGCTCCGGCAAAGGCAAACTGCGGCCGTCACCGAGGTGTCTTCTTTCTCTGAAAACTACCGAAAGTGAAAACGTTAAAAAACGCGTCGCAGCATCAAGGCGGCGACAGAATTTGCGACCTTCTGCTTTCTTGCCAGGTATTTCTGGAATGAATGAAGAAGTCACCCTTCTTGGCTGCTTTTCGGCCTCTGACCAATCACAAAGCGCCCTCTTTTGTCACTCTGTCTCTATTCCCACCTCTCTCAGGGTGCAGAACGTGGCTCCGCCCTACGGTCCCCGAGGGTTGTTGGAGAGCGGGCATGCGCAGTCAGTGCAGGACGCCGGGCAGGACGCTTCCGCCCAGTCTTGGTGCCCATTTAAGCAGAAGTCGAGTCTCCCGCTCAGTGCCGGCACTGACTGGTTAAATTCCGTTCTCTTGCCGTTATTTTTTTTAATTTGGGGATAAGTCTTTTGCTCTCTCGGACCACCCGAAATATTATGAAATCATGTTGAAGCATACTTTCAATTAGCTTTTCTCTGGCATTGTGAAAGCCACCTTTGTTTCTCAACCTATCGTTTAATCTTCCTCATCAAAATATTTTTTACACCTTATCAGTTTTGTGATACCATAGAAACACTACTTTTTTTTTTCTCCCTGTCTATCGCTACGTATCATTGGATTACAGTGGTTCGTTATCTGCCAATCGTATTCATGGCCTGTCCAGCCTCTAAACAATCCGCTTCTGCCGCCATTTTTATTTTGGTCTTTTAAAAGCTTTCATGTCAGTAACGGGAGCCATTTTTCGTTTGGGCAGATTCTTCTGGTTATCCCGCTACGTTACCTAGCGTTTTGCCGCCATCTTGGGTCCTGGTACTGGCTTCCGGCCCCCGTGAAGCCGGTTTCGCCATCTTATGTTTGGGCAGTGGCTGCATTTTCAAACGTGGGAGGCGACTCCGGGAAAGGGAAGTGAGCCAAAGCCTCTGAGACTTTGCCTGCCGTCTTTTTGGGGTGAGTTTCCACATCCACGTACTAGTCAACCAGTGACCCTGGACAGTAACAAAACACAAAAAGCCCGAACCCACCTCCCGCCACCAGCATAGGTAAGAGCGTGATACTCTGGCTTCTAGCAGTTCCCTCAGCTGTACTGAACTGTTAGTTCATTCTCTGTACCACTGCGTGTTTTTGTTTTGAATTCGATATTCCACAATCTTTCTCTTATGCCTTCTTCACTCTCCGTTACTTTTTGAAAACACTCCGAGTGCTGAAAAATTGTTCAACATCAGGGTTCAAGAAGACTGATACTTAAAATAATGTTGAGGGAATTTCTCCCGAATAAAAGTGCCAAACGGACGGGACAGCAATTTGTATGAAATTACAGCTGTCTACATCCGTAGGTGTAAAATATAGCCTTCAGAGGTTTTTTTTTACCCCCTGGAGACAAGGTTTCTCTGTGTAACAACTCTGACTGTCCTTGGAACTTGCCTTGTAGACCAGGCTGACCTCTAACTCAAAGAGCTCCGTCTGCCTCTGCTTCCCAAATCCTGGAATTACAGGCGAGCACCACCACTGCCCGCCTTCTAATTTTAATATGTGATTTAGGGATTCTGTTCATTCGTTCGTTCATTCATTCATTCATTCATTCAATCAGTGACTGTTCAATACTTAACTTTGTTTTCATTCATTCATTCACTCAATCAGTGACTGTTCAATACTTAACTAACTTTGTGCTATAGAAAGCAAAGAACAGTTAAAAACAAAAAAACCACTCAACCCTTTCTTGGGGCTCTCATTCAATTTCTTTGCCAACTACCAAGCTGGGACCAGGAATACAGTATTCTATGGTTCTTAGCACTGCTGGACAAGCAACTTAATAGGTTCTTGCTTCTCCTATTTCTTGGGTGTTGTACGTGGCCATAATTGTAAACTAGTTGGCTGATGTTCGACTTACTATGGCCTTATTCGGTCTGGTCATCTACCATCCAGGTCAGCATCATCTGGGAGTTTACTTTGAATGATTAGAAGTTGCGTGTGGGCACAGTGTGATGTTGACTTGGAAATTTGGGCTGTGGCTTACAGTGACTTTCTGTAGCCCTGGGCTTTCTTCTGTGTCTTCCTTTACTGAGAAATCAAAATCAGTCCTCAAACTTGGCTGCCCATGGCAGTCACCTGGGAGGCTTCTAAACCTCACTTGAGACTAATTACAGACAGAAATCCAGACTCTGGGAGAAATCGAAGTGCTCCTAAGGTATTTGATGGCACTGAAAGTGATGTTTATATTTCTCATGCTGTTATGAGTAGGATTGTGGTGTCTTTCCCTACTCCCCCTCCCTCCGCCCCAGGACTTTCCTTAAAATATTTAGGATTTTGAAGAGGAATATTAGATTGGGAGTGTGGTGAACTAACTTTCCAGTGACTAGTTACCTTGCCAGTCAACTTCCCAGTAATTGGTTACCTTACACTAACTAGTCGTTACCTTGCCAGTCAGCGTCACAGTCATTGATTACTTTACCGTCTGTGTCTCTTTTACTCAACGTATTAGCTTACTATGGCCTTGTTTGGTCTGGACATTAAGTGGGAAAGAAGAGTGGAAGTTCCTTGTTCTCATGAGTCTCACGTGGGTGTGTCCATCGTGGAGATGCATGTTTTATCACTACGAAGATGAACTTCATTATACTGCGATATTGACTGCCCGCAGTTTAAACGCTGCATGGGATATTGAGGGGTGGTGAAAATGGGGGTGGTTAAGAAAATCAGATCTGAAACTGACTGTCCTGACCTCACATCCTGCCTTCTCCACTTTCTAGCTCCACGCTCTGGAATCTGACAGACATCGTCTACCCTTGTGCTTCAGCTTTGTAACTTGTAAGGTAGGACTGCGTGAGAGTTAGCTACGTTAATAGCAGAAACATGCTTTTTAGAAGTACCAGGCGTGGACTGGAGCGATGGCCCAGCAGTCAGGAGCTGTGTGCTGTTCTAGAGAACTTGAGTGTAGTTCCCAGCATAAGTGTCAGGCAGTTTACAGTGCCTTTAACTCCAACTTCTTAGGGGATCCATGATGTTTGACTTCTGTGGGTTTCTACCCTCCCACGAACATACCCACACAGAGGCATACTCTTATATCCATAATTAAAAATAATACATTTTTTAAAGAAGAACTACCTGGCACATAGTAACAGCTATGAAGATATTGGCTGTAGATGTTTATATTATAATTCAATCTTTGGATTATTAAGATTTTTGTTTACACAGTCCAGTGACTGAAATTCTTTGGCCTTCCACTTTGTTCATCCATTTGAAAAAGAGGGTGGTCTAAATACATTATCCTAGGCCAGGAAGATGATTTTCAAATAACTTTTTTAAATCAAAAGACCTTCTCGTACACATAGCCTTATTAAGATAAAATTGTGGTGCAAATAGCAACATCTATTTAAAGTATACAGGGTGGTATGTTCTACATATGTGTGCTGGTGCATCACAGTCATATAATTAACATAACCATCACCCGCAATAATTGATCTGGTTCCTTGGTAATTGCTAGAGCTGCTCTTTTCTAAGCAATTGCTGACCTATCAATATAAATAAATAAACATTTTCTAGATTCTTATCTCAAAGAAGACTTGTACCAGATGGTTTTATTCAGGGGTATGTATAGCTGTTTTGAATATTATCTTTGTTATATATAGCAATAAATATTTATGCTGTTATATATGTTAATAGCACATTTCTTTTTTCCTTTCCATTTATTTTATTTTTCTTTTGTGCTGGAGATTGAAGTTAGGGCTTTGTGTTTTTTAGGCAAGTGCTTTATCACAGAGCTAAACCCACGGACTCTTCACCTTTTTGAATTGATGACTTATCAAGTGTGGCACATAATCATCTGTATCATTCACTAGTGGATAACCATTAGGATTTTTGTTTTCAGTGTGCTCAATCTCATGTAGTTTTGTTTTTCAGCTTATTTAAATTGGAAAAAAAGCCCTAATTTTTAATACCTTCTATATACAACGAAACCATAAGAGGACAGTGGCAAAAATTTTGTGTTGTTATTTTACTTGTCTTTTATATAATTTACGCCTTAACTTCTTATGAATGAAATAGGACATTTTTAGTGATTTATTTATTTTTATTTATGTGCTTTGGTATTTTGTGAGGCTGTCAGATCCCCTGGAGGTAGAGTTACAGGCAGTTGTGAGCTGCCATGTGGGTGTGGGGAATTGAACCCAGGTCCTCTGGAAGAACTGCCAATGCTCTTAACCACTGAGCCATCTCTCCAGCCCCGAAATACAACATTTTTAAAATGCAAAATATGGTGCTGGAAATATAGCTCAGTGGTAGAGTTCTTGCCTGACACGCATCTGGTCCTGGGTCTAACATGAATCTCTCTCTCAACTCTCAATCTGTGTGTGTGTGTGTGTGTGTGTGTGTGTGTGTGTGTTTTAAATCAGTTCTCAGGACTGAACATTTCACTTACAAGGCAAATGCTCTACCACTGAGTTGTTATTCTAGCTACTCCCCTCCTGCACTTTAGTTTTGAAATGGATTCTTGCTAAATTGCTCAGGCTGACTGTGAAAACTTACGGTTCCTCTCTGTCAGTCTCTGGAGTAGCTAGGAGCACAGGCTTTGTCCACCTGGATTATTTATTTTTAATAATTTTTAAATCGTGTGTATGCATGTGTGTCTTTGTGTGGGTATGTGTATGTTTGTGCAGGTAGCTGTAGAGCTCGGGAGAGGGTGTTGGGTCTCCTGGAGCCCGTGCTGCAGATGGTTATGTACTGACTTAGGTCCAATACAAGAGCTATAAGAACTCTTACTGCTGAGCCATATCTCCGACCCTAGGATTGTTGTCTCTTGATATGTATATGTCTAATCATTTAATCTGCCTTAAATCTTTAAAGGTTAGTATGAATATATTGCTTTAGGGATTTTGGACAATAGTCCATCTACATCTGAGAGCCATGAGATTCTACAAAGTAGAGATTTGTAAAGCCAAGCCAGAGACATCCCAGAGCTCCCATTTGTCAGGAGATGGAGAATGCCACTTATGTATTAAGGTTTAGTGTTTTTCTTAGGGAAAAATGGTCCATCAGTTGCTTTTAGTAGTATTGACACATTATGCTAGAATAAGTCAAAGCTTGTTTAAAATTGAATTTGATTTATGTCACTATGGGGGTAGTATAAAATACAGCTGTTAAAATATCTTGGATAGAAAAGTTAATTCATGTCATTGTTTTGATTTATTCTCTAGAAAAGATTGATGTTTTGTAATCAAAAACATTTTAAATAGTCAGGCCATAAAAAGAAAATCTTTCTTGGTTTAGTATCTTGGGTTTTGATTCCTGTGGAGTTGTAACCGCCACTGAAATCAGGATATGGACCAGGTCTATCATCAGCCTCTGCCTCTACCCATGAACTTCCTCCCAGTTTCTTCAGCTATCTCTTATGTCCCTCTGTCCTTTAACCCTTAGCAGCCAGTGAAACAATGATATATTCTCTAGTGATACAATTTTTTTTTTGCACGAAAAAGATTAGATTTTAAGAAGAGTATTGATGATAATCAGAATGCCTTTTCTTTTGTTTGATCCTTTTCAATGAAGGTGATTGGGAAATAGCAATTATCAGGATGGGTTTTAGGTTCTAAAGTAAATTGCATGTTGTCCGCTTCTACGTTCTTGGGTGTATTTAAGACTAATCATCCACTGAGATTCAGGCACAGAGCCAAGTGATGACATATCACTCCTCAGAGCCCAATGACTGTCCTATTTCATGAAGAAGAGATCCAGAGACATAGAGGAGTTGAATGATCTCAGGCCATACAAAAAGGCAGAAGTGAGAGTCTCAAGACATTACTAGATTGCATGAGGATGTCTATGGGTGCTTCTGATAAGGAATCAGATAATAAATAGATGTTGACTGTCAGCAAAGCATCCCATGCAGGGTTGGCTGGCCTGAAGACTCAGCAGGAAGTGGAGACATAGGTCTTGTGTCATATGATTGGCGTGACAGCAGAGTTACAGAACAGTAGAATCAGTAATTGGAATTGATCTTGTTACAGTGTTTCAACATCTGGTCTACATTTTGTAAAGGAAAGAAAAATAGATTTTTGTTGTTTGAATGGTTCTTTTTCCATTGTTGATGCTTGTTTTGATTTGTTTTTATGAGCATACTAGGCATTCAAGGTTGGGGCACCCCACCCCAAGTCATAGGAACAGCTAATTTCTTTTTGTGCTGAGGTTTCCTTTTAACCTTTATCGAGGTTGTCACTAGTAGGACATTTGCTCGTCTGTCACTTTTTGACCTTTTACTACAGTTTGTTCCTAGGTATCAGTTTAATAACAACAGTAGTGTGTTGGTGGGCAACAGTGATGATTTCTCATGTTTTAATTATAGTTGTAGTGTCAGAAATCCTAGGGCCCTTACTGTTTTCTGTTCTGCTTCCATAGCCAGAAAGCTTTTTAGGAAGATGATAGAAGTATAATAATTTCTTCAGTAAAGATTGAAATGGAGAGGTTGGAAGGCTAGAGTTAATATTTGACCTTTTAAATTGAGGCAGCTGCTTTCAAAAGCTTGTCACACAGGCCAGAAATACTGAAAGAAAGACAAATGGGGATTTCACGTTGCCCTAGATTTTCCCACAGAATAATCTAGAAGGTCACTGACTTTCTTTCTTTGAGTTTATCTCTGCTCTGTATTTAAATGACAGGAAAATCATGCGATATTGTATAATCTGCTTCTATTCCTTCCCCAAATTAATTTCCCTAAACATCTTAAGCTGTCTGCCTCCGTGTCAGCCACACATGCAAGTGCATGAGTTTTGGTGGGGTCACACGTTATCCAAGTATCCATTTTGTAAAGGAATGCTTGTGTCCAGTGTAGAGACAGTGGGTCCAGGAATGTAGAAGAGAGGACAGACAGTCGTATTTGCAAGATTTATGTTGTGCTGTAGCTTCCCTACAGGCTGATGTAAAGTGTATGGTTTCCATGTACTTGGAAAATACATCTTTTTGAGATTGTCCTGGATTTCATAAAACTAGTCAACAAAATAAAAATGCCAACGACTTTAGACTTTAATAGATAGCTCTGTAGCAAGGTGTGTGTGTGTGTTTTTTTTTAACAGTATTGCATGAAACCCTAAGCATTGAGCTTTCTACTCTTGCAGAAAAGTTGTTTGGAAATTTAAAACTTAATTCCAAGGCTGATATCTTTTCTATTCAAATGAATGTTAGAAATCAGTATTTTTAACAACAAAAGATTACACTGAAGTGGACTAAATTTCAACCACATGTCAGATCTGTTGTCCATTTCATTTTTAAATTTAGATTTACTTATTTACTTACTTGTGGTGGTTCAGTGTTTTATAACTAAGGATTGAATTTAAAGACTTGAACATGTAAGGCAAACCCTGAGCTACATTCCCAGCCTCACTGTACGTTTTTCCCAGCATAGAACATTAGGATCTACATATTAATCACAACTCTCTCAACTTTGTCAGATACATTAAGTATTTAATTCAATATTTATTACACTGCTTGTTTCTAAACATCTGTTCAGAGTACTTTGCTTTCTATGTAAAAGATTTAATGGAGAATTTGGGATTGGAGACAATAAAGTTTCATTGGATAAAATATAAAATATACTAATAGCCTATAGCAACTGACTGTTAGAGGACAGTAACATTTGATTAAACAAACTCTGTTGTAAGTCTGTGTGATGGCTCAACTATTAAGAAGGACCTGAAAAGACTTTGTCCCGGGGAACTTCCCGTTAGGCAGAGGAGATGCTCTGAGGACCAGGGTGCCATGGAGTCTAGTGAGCTGAGTCTGAGATAGAAGTGTAACAGGCCGAGAGAGGAACACTTTAGTCTAAACAGTCATGACGGGCTTCAAGGAGCTTGTGACCCCACTGTTGGACGTTGTAGGATAGGTTACCTACCCTAGAAGAGAACATCAGTTCAGTATGTGTGGGAGGAGGTAGAAGTACCTAGAGATCCATAATCAAGGACGTTTGCCAAGGGCTGTGTGGGTGAAGTCAGTGCAGATGTCAAGGAGGTTGGTTCTGGGAAGGAGGGTGGGCAAGGATTCTAGTCAGGGGCTTTGATGCTGTGGGAAGCCTAACCATTTTGAGTACTGGCTTCCCTGTCACATCCCTCTCGTGGTGGTGTTAGTTATCTAAATACTGAGAATTGAGAGAGAGATAACAAGTAGTTCTCTTAAGAGGCAGTGATTGTGGGGCACCGTCAGGATAATACTCTTTTTGGGGTCTAGAACCCTTGGCATTGACATGTGTTAGTATGTATGGGCTGCTATCACTAAATACTTTATGTTGGGTAATATTTATTTATGTCCTGGACAAGGTCTCTAGTCCAGGCTATCCTCAGACTTGCTAGATAGCCAAGGATAGCTTCAGCTGCTAGTCCTCTTGTGTACACCTCGAAGTACATCTTTACCAGCTTTCTGTCTTTCACTGCCCTAAGCTTGTCCTGGAACTCGCTCCGTAGACCAGGCTGGCCTGAAACTCACAGAGATCTGTCATCCTCTACCTCCCGATTGCTGGGATTAAAGGCATGCGCCACCACTGCCCGGGAGAAAGTTTTAGTTTTAATGTGACCAAAGCTAGCATTCTTTTAGTTGGAGTGCACTTTTTTCTTACTTAAAAACTCTTTCCTTATTCTATGCTTAAATAAGAAAGCATATCAGCATCTCATCCCTTCCTATGGCTGAATAAAGTCTCATGGCATATTACACCATTAGCCCTTTATGTATTGCAGATACCCAGTTTCTTCCTGTCTTATTGTGGGCCTATTTCTCTGAGATACAGTCTCGGGAGTGCCGTTTTGGGTTGTTTGTTAAGTATGTGCTTTGATTTATAAGGAACTACCATGCTCTCTTCCAGAGTGGTGCTACGCACTGACATGGCATGTCATCGCTAGCATTTGGTCTTGTTACTGAGTTGGTTTTTTTTTTTTAATTTAATGTCCTGGTGAGTATGTAGTGATTCCTTAAGGTTTTATTTCCATTTCCTTGATAGCTAACAATGATGATTTAGGATATGCTTTCAATTTTATAGAGAACTGAGTTAGGATTTGATATAGATTGCATTGAGTTGGTAGAATCAGTTTGACAGATAGTGGTATCTTAGTAGTATTAAGTGTCCTAATCCTTGAGTATAAACATGAAGTTTATTCCTATTTACATAGACTTACTTTTCTTTGACTTAAGGCACTAGCAATTGATAGTAGGGACTTGCTCATGCTAGGCAAGCACTTTGCCCCAGAGCTAATTCAACCCATTCTTTAGTTTCTTTCAATAATGTTTTATGGTGTTTAGTGTACAAATAATATATTTCTTTAATTATATTTATTTCTTTGTATCTTCTTTCTGCTATTAGAAATGAGATTGTTTTATTAATTTCATGTTTAGTATTGTTCTTTACTGGAATACCAAAATATAGTGAATTTTAAAATAGTGATCCAGTTATCCCACCAGCTTTCCCAAAGTTACTAATTGTAATAGGTTCTTTGTGTTTGTGTGTGTAAAAAAGAGAAAAAGATGAGAGACAGATGAGGGGGGAAAAGGAAAAAGAGAAAGGAAGACTTTTCTGTATGCAGGAGCGTGTTATTTGTGAATAGTTTGATCTCTTCCTTTTCTGGATGCCTTTTTCTATTCCTCCTCTATTTGCTCTTTAGTACAGTTTTGAATAAAAGCAGCAAGCGAAGACATTGTCCTTTGCTCATCTTAGTGGGAGGAAATGATTACTCATCATGTATGATTTTAGCTGTTTCTTTCTCTCAAAGAATTTTATTAGTTGTTATTTTTGTGGTGAGAGAGAGAGAGAGAGAGAGAGAGAGATGATGTGCATAAGAGAATTTCTGAAGGTCAGAGGACAACTTCTAAGAGTTGGTTCTCTCCTTTTTTTGTGGATTCTGGGAATCAAATTCTCTGATTATGTGGTATTTTGCCGATTGCTTTTCAGATGTTAAGCCACCTTTGCATTCCTGGGGTCAAATCAATTTGGTTATAAACATTTGGTGGGTTACTGTAGGGAAGATCTCGGAGCTTATACATTTTTCTGGTGAGTTTTTAGGTCACCATATTAGCATAATATTTTAGTTAAGGGCAATTAGAATGAAAATTTTATCTCATACTGATTAATGATATTTTATTAACCAGATCTTTCATATAACATCCCCCAAAGAGATATTTTTATATATCTAACTATAGCTTTCCTTTTTTTTTTCCTGCAGGTTCTGTGGCTTGTTTGGAAATCAGTAAACCATGGCATCTAAGAAGTTTGCCGTTAAAGTAAGTAATGCTCAGCAGCTGCTTTTTAGATGTCCCACACTCTCCTGTGTATGAGTCCCTGTTAACTAAAAGTTGGAATTCTTAAGTTCATCTCTACTCTTTAAGTTTAGAGTTTTGGACATTTTAAGTTAGTTAACATCGACGTTTCAAAAAGAGATGGGTGAGAAAACTAATAATTTTTAAAATTTTAAGTAGTTCTTTGCTTAAAATCTTTCGTGTTGTAACCTTTTTGGTCATAAACTTTGTCCCTAATGCTAATATTAATCATTCATATCGCGTGTCCATGGCATGACTTCTGAGGCTAATGTCCAAGGAGCATCCTAAGCTGTTGTATCTGGGTGCATGGGAGAGAGAGTGTGCCTGCTGCCTGTCATCTCCTGCCTCCTGAGCTTTCATTGTTAATTTTACAGAGGAGAGTAGCAATGGAAGACCTCAGTGAGGAGTTGCCTAGATTCGATTGAAGGGGAGGGGGATTGTCTTATTTATTGATAAAGGGAGGCCCAGGCCACATGGGCAGCTCTCTGTTTGGAGGCAGGTGGTCCTGGGCTGAGAATGTGAGGTAAGAGGTGCTGGAAGCATGAGCATGTTAGTAAGCCTGTGAGAAAGCTAAAAATGGGCGAGCCAGCACGGGGTTTCCTCCATTGTTTCTGCTTCAGGCTCCTGTCTTGAGTTCAGGCCCTGACTGCCTGCACCCATGGGCTGTGATCTGAGGCTGTAAGCTAAAATAAACTTCTCCTCTCCCAAGTCGCCTTTGGACAGTGTTTTTACAGCATCAGAAAAGAAATAGAACAATCAGTTTCTTTCATTTTTCTCTTTTAAATTTGCCTTCTCTATTCATTAATAGTAGAGCTGCGAGCTTCTTAGGTGCAGAGTGTTAAAGGGTACTGTGTGCCAGAAGATCAGAGGGAGACGTGATAAATACCTTGTGTGAGTTCTCGCAGAGACTGCCATCTATTTTGACTGTTCCCCCGGTCAGTTCTGTGTCGCACGGTCATTATCTTCCATAGCAATTAAAAACACCAAAGCCGGGCCAGTGATACGGCTCAGCAGGTAAAGGCACTTGGCACAAAGCCTGACTCTCTGGGTGTGCTCCTCAGTTGTATTCCTGAGACCCACATGGTGGCAGGAGAGAACCAGTTTTTGGAGGTTGTCCTGTCACCTGCCTTGCACACACACAAGTACATATGATAATTGAAGCCATTGAAGAGAACTCTTAGAACTGTGACAGGGAAGCTGAAGTAGCTCTTCACAGTGAGTGGCTTCGGGCATTGGTGGCAGTGGGGGAAGGACTCGGGTTTTTTAAGGGGCAGGCCACTGGGAGTTTGGCTATGTTGGACTTGATTTTTTTTTCCCTCTTTTTTTCTTCTTCTTTTGTTTTTGGGATGGTCACAAGGGCGAGGAGTGGGGGGTGGGATGGATCTGGGTGGACCAGGAAGTGAATGTGATTGAGGTGCATTATATGACATTTCCAAATAATCAATAAAAATATTATGTTAAAAAAGCTCAGATTCCATTATTTGGCTAATCAAATTGTGAAACAATGTAAAATTGTCATTTTATCTTATTCTTAGTTAAGTCAGTGCTTATTTAGTTTGCTAACATATTTATAAATTTCATTGCTTGTAATTCCTTTTGGTATGCATATACTCTTGAGTATTTCTTTCATAAGGGTGTCTAAGTAGGGAACATTCACCATTTGTTTATAAAAATTATTTTGATCTTCATTTAGATTTCTAGAATCTAGAATGATATTAAGTTGATTCTAGAATGCTAGTTTGAACATTATTTTACTGTGTAGCAAGATTCTGTCTCAAAGGATAAAAATCAATAAAGTTATCTGGTGATATACTTCTTTAATCCCAGTACTGAGGAGGCAGAGGCAGGTGGACATTTGTTAGTTTAAAGCCAGCCTAATCTACATCGTGAGACCCTGTGGCAGGGGGTAGGGGGAGGGAGAGAAGGAGAGAGGGAGAGAGAGATTGAGATTACTGGCTGAAAGTAATAATTTAAAATAATCTCACGTTTCTTTCCGACTTTGTATCAGTGGTTTCTCCTTTTGATGTTAGCTGGGACTGCAGTTATTTAGGGACTCATATTTAGGTGAAGCATCAAGTGTGGCATCATATATATAGTAGCAGTCATTATTGTTGACTTTGGCTTTCTCCTAGCATAGTATAGAGGCCCCAGACAAGAATTCTAAGTACAGAACAATGTACTGTGCTCGCCCTCAGAGGCCTAGACTTAAGTCTCAGCTACCGCACCTGTTGCATTCTCTTGGTCAGAACAAGAACCAGCCCAGGAGAAGGAACTTGACTCGTGAAGTAGGGAGCTCCCTGGGTGGGGAGATGTTGGGCTGTACCAGAGCCCAGTTGTCACAGGCATCTCTTGACAGTCTCTTTCCTGATGGGAAGACCAACCCTTTTCCTTGTTATCTGTCCTTTGTCTCTGCTGGTTCGTAAGATTTTATTTGTTTTCGATAGTCTATAGTTTTGTTCTAGGCATAGATTTATCTGTTGTGGAATACAGTGTTACAGTCAGTTCTGGGAAATTTTCATCCATTTTTCTACCTGGGTTGCATGTCCTAATTGACCCTGTTCTCTTTACAACTTATATTTGAAGTTTGTTGGGTAAAGTCATGATTTATTTGCAGATTGGAAGAATGAGGTTAATCTGTAGAAGACTGTGCCCTAGCAAGCTCTGTGCTCTGAAGTGAACCAGGCTCTTTGCAGAGTTCATCAGAAGCTTTCTGAGACTCAGGAGGACCCCTGATTTTGGTCAGCTGTGGCATGTCAACCCTAGCGCTTTCATTCTGTCTGAGATGATATGATGACCCCATGCTGTCCACACTGACATGACTGACTGACTGACTTTGCTGCCATATTACCCCGTCTCCCAGCTGTGTCTGAAAGGCTCGGAACCCAGCTTCCAGATCAGGGGTGTTACCACAAGCGTGAATTTCAACTTGCAGACTAGCTACAGAAACTGGTCTAGCCCGTGATTTTGAACCACACAGCCAAGGAACAAGTTCCCTAACTGGAGTTTAGCATCTCACAGCTTTCCCTTGGGTTCCTTTTCCAAATGTCTGACATAGAGCCCTTGTGAAGGACTCTGCTCTGCTCCATGGTGTCAGGCCATTGCTGCTGTCCCTGCATACCTTCTGCAGTGCGCAGGTTCAGATGGTCTATGTGTTATACGGCCATTGGCTTTCCTTGCCGTTAGCTCAGTGCTTCATTCAAAGAGCCCCTCCCCCTTTCTAGCTTAAATAACAGTTTTTAATTCCAAAATGCCTTTTCGTCAGGTGTCTTCTACTTAACCAAAATCTTCTCATCTGTACTTACTGTACAGGTGAAAGAGAGACATGCACACTGTGGGGTGGGAAAGGACAAGCCAAAAGGTGTCAATTGAAAAGGATAATAGCTATTTAATTTTAGTTATGATTTTTCATTCACAAGTTCATATTTTTTTTAATTTTTAAAAAATTCAGATTCCACTAGTTCTTTCCCAATTTGTAAAATGATTCCATTTTCTCATTTTGTCATCTTAATATAATTCTACAATAATTTATTTTATAATGGTTTTTAAGTGTTTCTATCATTTCTAATATTACGTACCAAGTATGAAGTAAATTGATCAGTGAAATTGCTGCATTGTTTGTACGACATTAACTTTAATTTTTGTATTTTGAGATGAGGCCTTCCTATATTACCCAGGCTGTCCTAAAACTCATGCTCTTACTGCCTATAGTACTGACATTATAGTCTATGTTTATGATTTTTGGTATTGTGTATAGCATTATACACATGGATTCATGTCTATGTAGTCCCCCCCAACATACATGGGTAGAGAGATGTACTCTGAAGAGCAGTTGAGCGATTTTAACTCTATTAATTTTATTGATTTTAACTTTATTTCTGCTGAAGCCATTGGCATTCTGTTAGTTGTAGACCAGATTTACTTTCATGGCTCAGGGTTGTACTAACCTGTGGACAGTATACATTTAGAACTCATAATGCAGTTGGGTAGAAGTTTTTTTTTTAATTTTATTTTTATTTGCAGATGCTTTATTTCCTTTTTGTTTTTTCCTCCCTTCCCTGCATCCAGGGTTCTGAATGGATGGACCACTGTTCTCCCTGGTCACCTCTAGGTGTGGAAAAGAGCAGACTTAGTTACATTTTCACAAATGGCAGCTACTGTTTCTCACAGGAATGAAGTAAAAAGCTCACTTGAATAGCTCCAGCCCCAGAACACTTACATCTTTGGTTATAGAAAACTGAGCTGAAAAGTATTACGTGATGATGTCTACAGATTGAGTACTCGCATGCTAAACACTGAATTACGCGATAAAAGGATACACAGATCTATGCAGAGGGTTTTTTCTTAATTCCAGCCTCAATGGAAGTGACTTCGATTCTAAGCCCCCCTTCTTGTCAGTGCCCCTAGGGCATCATGAGTCCTCTCTCCACTTTACCCAGTCCTGGTTCTAGATCTCTTGACAGCTAAGCTTGACCCTCATAAAGCCATGGTTATTGATAGTGCTGTGGGCGTTTGTTACTTTTACTGTTCTTTTCAGATAACCACCTTCTGTCTTGATCTTTTCCTGTCTGCAGTGTGCTTGTTTCTGTTTCTTCAGTTTCTTATCTATGTCTTTCTTTCCTTTACTTGGGTATATCTTGGGTATATCTCTTCCTTTCCCAAGTTCTTAAGGCAGAAGCCTAAGCCTTTGCCATCAAACCTTTCTTTTCTGTTGTGTATACTTAAAGCTATACAGTTCTGACAAAGCATTTCCTACTTAATTGTGTCCTTCACAGTGGATGCAACTAAGTTGGGGATTTGGTCAAATAATTCATAAATTTCATTATGATATATGTTTCAGTATATTGGCTATTATAATCTCTATTCTTTATGACTGGGAATTTCTATTGATCGTATTTAAATTGGTCTTTAGGGAAGTTCTTCTGTTTTGATAAAATACTGCTCTGTAAGCAGCATAATGTGATATT